GGAGCTGCCAGAGGTCAGGGCGGGGGATTTGGTGGTCAAGGCCTCGACAAATCCTGTACGCTGGCTGGGTGTCTGGTTCGACAAGAGACTGTCCTTCCGGCACCACGTCGACACAAGAGTAGCTGCGGCAAAGAAGGCAGCTCAACACCTGAGGCAGCTTACAAACACAAAGAGAGGACTGCCAGCGGCCGCCGTGCGAAAAGCCGTCGTCTCCTACGTACTGCCGATCGCGCTCTTCGGCGCCGAAACATGGTACGCAGGTATCACGAAGCCGGCTTCGAGACGCCAAGCGGAGACAGACACGAGTCCGCCTTTCCAAGGAAGACCCGTCAACACAGGCCAGAAGGGGCTCGTGCAGAAGATCGACAGCGTCATTACAGCGGCAGCAAGGATCGTTCTACCTGTCTGGAGGACAACGCCAACCAGTAGCCTCCTCCGAGACGCCGGCTTACCGTCAGCCAAAGTCGCCTTAGAAGGCGTCCGTTTACGGGCCGCAGTCCGACTACAGAGGATTGATCGCCGACACCCGCTAGTCGCGCGGCTCTCCCAGCAGGGACAGCAACAGACGAGACTACAACGGACGGCTGAACTTCTGCCAAGATGCGGAAGACCAACGTTCCTCCAATCACAGTACCTGCCAAGCTCACAGGATCAGATAGTAGTTCAATGCAAAGAAGAGGCTGCGAAAGCTTTCGAGCGCTGGCTAAAGACAGTACCGGAAAGCCATATGATCGTCTTCTCGGACGGCTCCAGGGCGACGAACGGAGCCGTGGGGTACGGCTTCGTCATCTACCGAGACTCCAAACGCATAGCGCAAGGGTGCGGCCGACTCGGACTAGCAGAAGTGTTCGACGCCGAGGTCGAAGGGGCGCGAACCGGCCTCAGAAGGGCTCTGCTCACCAATCGCGGTCATCCAATCCACATATGTATCGACAACACCAGCGTTATACAAGGCATCCGCGGCAAGGCGCCGGACTCGTCACAAGACGCGTTCCTCGAAATCCAAGAAGCGGCCAGGATATTTGATATACGGACGCACTGGTCCCCGGGACACCAGGGCATCGAAGGAAACGAGGCCGCGGACCGGCTGGCCAAAGAAGGAACGACACTGCCGGCGCGGATGGGTCAAATGGCAACACTAGCGGGCATCAAGCGGCTTGCAAGGGAAAAATTACAAAGCCAGCACAGGAGATGGTGGTATAAAGAGCGAAGGCCGCGGTACGCGGACTTGGGGCTTGAGGCAGCTCTGTCCAGCCCTCCTGAACTGGCCTTGCCGCGGGCTACGTTACATCACCTGCTGGCGGCACGATCGGGTCACGGGGACTTCGAGCAATATCACCGACGTTTCAACCACGACGACGCTCTAATGATGTGCTCTTGTGGAGAGGCGAAAGACGTGGACCACCTGGTCTACTGTCGACTAACGCTGGCGAGGAGGCAACGGTGGCCGACCCTCCACTCTCGCAGTATGCCCGAGCCCATAGGTCCTATGGGATCTCTCGAGGCCTACTTCAAGAGATTAATCACCGACCCACGAGGCTTCGAGGCCTTTCTCCGCGTGACGGACTTCTTCCAGAAGATCTGTCTGCGGTAGCAGCATCCACACCTAGGTAGATGTGAGTGCGGACTACAAAGAACCTCCCGATTCCAAGGGACGATTTGGGAAAGAATGAAACTGGGGCACCAGCGGGAACCGGGGACAGACAGAACGCGTAGTGGCCACAAGGCATGATTTGGAGGACGATGTAAAGAGACGACGTACTGTAGAGTAGGTAGCCTTGGCTCACGGCCCTCCACGCCATATACCCTTCGGGAGGTCTGCGGTAAGGGCTCTAGCCCGGCCGCCACGGCGTTAAATACAACAACAACAACAACAACAACAACAACATATGCCGCTAGTGTGGGTCAGCAAGTGTCGAACCGTTATTTTGTTCTTGGCTCTTTGGAGCCTGAAGGATGTAGTAGAGTCCGGCAATATGATTTTGGGGTCCTTAAGCTCGGGCAGTATAGTTTCAACCTCGTCATCGAGACCTATCATTTTCTTCTCGACGCATTGCAATACGGAGATTGTTGTAATCAGCTTTGTGCAAGAAAATCCGCGAAAAGCATCATCAAGAGTGATATGCTCCTTGATTTCTGCTCTCTTGATTCCATGGCATTGGCTGTAGAGAATTTCTGTATCGCCTATTAATGTTAAGTTCCTCAGTCTTCCTCAGTGGCGGGGTCTACTCGCCATCTTTGTTGAATGCGGCCAGGGCAACACCGGGAAGGCTCGGTGAGCCTCCTTTTGTCAAAGATACTAGGCTTTCCTCGCAATTGAGTTTCATCTTGAAGTGATCAATAGTCTGCACTGCCGATAAATGAGTTGATGGTGTATAGAGGTTCAATCGCAGTAAGCTGATGGTATGAATGACTGCTGGGTCGATCATTCGTCGAACATGCTCCAAAAGACCACTTTTTCACGATCCTGTGACTGATTTTGATGGTCCCATATTTGTTCTCTTTGCATCTCTGAGAGTCTAAATGTGGTTTTCTGACTTCAAGTGGGCCTGGAAGTCAATAGCTTTGCCCGGCGACTTCGGCCGACAGCCTCAGCTGCCTCTTCGATGTGACTTCTCTGAGCGCTGCCTAAGTACCCAATGACAGCCCTCGAATCGTTTTCGGCCGGGTGTCCGGGTCCTGATTTCTTCTACCCCAAATTGGCATCTACCTCTCATCCACAGTCGGAAGCTCTTCTGTCCTGTCGACGTACGAATGCTTACCACCTTCGCCCGACAACATGTCAGACAACATCGAAACGTCTCCAAAGCAACCGTCGACTACCGATGGACAGTCGACAACTGCCTCCGCTGCTCCTCCCAAACAACCAAGTAATGCGGGGAGAAAACGGCGCTCGTGTCTTTTGTGTAGCAAACGGAAAGTCAAGTGCGACAAGCAGAAGCCATGTCGAAACTGCGTCAAGTACGGGGGTGAATGCGTATTCCCTGCCGCTAAGACAAGCCAAACACAGATGGTTATGACACCTGAGCTGGTGGAAATGCTTCGAAGACTAGAGAAAGTTGTCCAAACTTTGGAGCCGAAAGACGGAGACAGGCAGGATCCCGTAGATCCTCAGCAACCCCACAAACATAACGATGAAAATGATCGAGAACGACCTCAGTCTCCGATTCCTTTGCCTATGGTTGAGGACCTAGATGCTACGGACTTGGGGTCTATCGGTCCTACGATGGGTCCGGAAGTCCAAATGGGTCGTTCAAACCCACCCAGTGCCAAATTACAAAGTGTAGCATCAAGCCATGGTGGCAGTGATGGCAGGATTGTTCGCGATGCTGGGAGAGACACCTATGTAAGACGCTGGTTTTGGGAGGATTGTAAAAGTGAAGTCAGATTATTCACAACATCAAACCGTATCCTCGGCTAATGATGAGTAGATCAGCAGCGGCTCTGCGACAGATGAAGATCGCTCAGACGACGATGACTTCGAAGATACCGATTCTAATCCTTTCGCCAATTGGTGCTCGAAGAAACCGGAAAGTTTGAGTTCCGATAGCGAAACTCCGAACGCAAAGAGAAGGATTCTTTCTATAATTGGCGATCAAAAACTGCACTTGTGGGGCATTTACAAAGAAAGAGTTGAGCCGCTGACCAAGTTGCTCCACTTGCCGTCGCTCGAGCAGGCAGTGACCGGGCATCGCTTGGTGGACTTCAAAGACGGCACCCGTTGTATCATGCTGTCAATCTACTACGGTGCGGTAACGAGTCTAGGCGAAGAAGAGTGCGGCCAGCTTTTTCAGAGCGGACAAGCCCGGGTCCTGTCCGTCTTGCGGGACGAGGTAGAAGCAATGCTTTCGAAGGCCATGCTGATCCATACCGGGGATATCCAATCATTGCAGGCACTAGTCTTGTACCTCATCCTCCTGCGACATCATGAACCCCGGCTCTCCTGGAACCTTTCGGGGTTGGCCGTTAGACTTGCTCAGAATTTCGGCATTCATAGGGAAGGCAGTCTATTCGGACTCTCAACATTCGACATCGAAATGCGACGCCGCCTTTGGTGGCAGATTGCAATTCTCGACGCCCCATCGGCCGAAGACTATTCGGGTGAATACAACTTGTAATACTCAAGACTTTCGCGGACGCCCAGTCGAGTACCTTAATTCGCTGACTTCTACACAGACTCGAGATGAGTAGTTTCGATAGCCAGCCACCGCGGAATCTCAACGACATACAGCTGTATCCGGCAATGCTCGAGTATCCACCCGAAACGGGAGGTATCACGGAGATGACGTTTACATTAGCCCGATGTCAAATTACGAGCATGTACCGTTGCATGGCGGACTCAAGAAAGCACTGTGAAAACACGAGAAAGAGCTATGCCGAAATGTCACAGCAAGAGCGCAACGATTGGATCGATTTCTGCGAGCAAGAGTTTTCTCAAAAGTTCTTTCAAAATTACTCAGCGACAAACGCACTGCATTGGGTGAGATTTCAGTTGTTCACGTCTGCCACCGCTTAGCTAAAGTATGAGCGCGGATCTGAAGCACTTAATGTTGACCAAAACCATCACAGGTAACCATGGTCCTGACGAGGATGCTATTCCACAAAGTGAGGCTGCATGGCGTCAACCCACATGTGGACTCCAAAGATATATCAGAGTCAACCCGCAAGCGATTATTCGCAGTCGCCGTCGAAGTCATAGAACTCAACTGCAAACTTCGGACTGACCCCCGAACGCGTCCTTGGCTTTGGCTTTTCAGCTCCTACACTCAGTGGCATGCATTCTCTCTGGTCCTTCACTGGCTTCGAACAGATCCTCTTTGCAAGGGATCCCGGCGAGCATGGCAGGCAATTGAAAAAGCCATCGTGTTGAGGTGGGAGCATCCTCCCTCATTGTTGAGTGGTCAAAAGCCGCAACAATGGCGGTCTGTTCTCAGACAGCTGGGAAAGGCAAGATCTGCTCGACAAGAGGCTTTGGATAGAAGAGGAAGGAGGGGTTCACGTACGGCTTCGGAAAAGACTGGGCAAGCCTCGGCATCTTCACTGGCATCGGCAACGTCTCACGCTCCATCCTCTTCGCGCAGTTCGTTTCCGAAGCCTTCCCATTCCTATAATTCCTTGCAATCAAGTAGCTCCCGGTATCAACACCGAGTTCAGGCTTCGGAGGTGGTCCGAACAAATGCTCCAGGTCCTTTAACACCTCCCATCACCACCACGGATGTCTCCCTGCAACGGGATCTCACAACACCAGAACAAGGAAATTCACAGAACACACACAGCATTAACAGCTATCATTTTGACGAGATTGCTGGTGTATTGCCGCATCCGGACCTCGTGATGATCGATGAAACGACGTTCTCGGCCGAAGAATTTCAAGATCTTCAGGACTTTTCTTTTCTTGAAAACTATTCTATGGATTAATTAGAGCCTAATATAAATCTATCAGTCTGAGTGTGGGCTACACCTTGCGCTGTCTACTTTGATAACTTAACGAACACCATCACGAACTAGGCACCTATGATGCACGTTCCTATGATGCACGTATGTAGAATTGTAACTTGCTTATTTGAACTAAACTCATTTATCGCAAGATAAGTGTCCTGTATCTAACCCAAATAGTGCTCATGCTCTCGAGTGCGTAACATTTAACCAGCTGAAACCCCATTCGGCTGTTCCGATCCATTCTCCAACATATTCACCTTTTTGTGAATCGCACTGTTTCCTTCCAGCCCTGCGTGCGTAGCCTCATCCATCCCCGGGATAATCATCTCAAATGTTTCTCGCACGACCGTATACTGAAAGTAGCCGCAGCGAGCGATGGGCTGTGTCTTGCTGACGTCGAGCTTGCCATCGGTCAAGACATCATCTCGTATGTGCACTCCGATGACTCTCCCAATGACGACATCGACAGTTCCCATGGGAGGGTTGGCGGGCAGCCTGAGAGTTGTATGATACACACATTCAAACTTGACCGGACTATCCTTGACCATGGGCACAGGATCTCCGGGCAGGGCGCGGCTGTAATCCTTCTCGAGACCTGCGCGGTCAAACTCGTCCACTCCGTAATCGACCTGCTCAGCCGAGATGTTCACAGCCTCACGCAAGGGCCAAGTAGCTAGGTTCCAGCAGAACTTGCCGGTCAGCTCCGCGTTGAGAACCGTATCCTTCCTTTGCTGGTCTGGTTTTTGGTTGGCCGAGAACATCACATAGGGCGGGTCGAATGTGAGGTTATTGAACTGAGAATAGGGTGCCAGGTTGTGCGTCTTTGGATCCGTTGCCGAGATTGTCGATATCCAGCCAATTGGCCGAGGAACAACGCAGGCCTTGAACGGATCATGGGGAAAGTTGTGAGGTATTCCTCCCGGCTGACTGCCCGGCTCAAAGTACATGATGATGGATCTCGAGAAGATGCCGTATGTCCCTTAGTTGAGATAAGTTTGAATCTAGACGAGAACGCGATTTCTTGAACGCCGAGGTCAAGTAGCTCAGATCAAAAGAGCTAAGAATATCAATCGGTGGCTCTGCAGACTTTGATGTCTATATTTACGTTCAGACAAGAAAACCCTCGCGACGCACGGCAATTGAGATGCTTTGACACACAATTCTCAACAATTGTGTTGCTGCCCGGGTAGGGGTGTTTGGGGGCAAGGTCGGGCCCATGTCCACCGAGCCGGGCCAGAGCGGACATGAGCCAGACATATGGGAAACACGGCCGATGAGATTTAACTTTGCCTCCGCAAACACGGAGCTCGGGTTTTCCCCCGTTGTCAAGCAAACCAAACCACGCATTTGACATTCGTGCGTTATGTGCAAACTTTTAGCATTAGAAATGAAATAGAGTTACCTTAGTGATGCGAAGAATGCACATAACGACACGACATCTCCCATTCTTCTGCTGAAATTTCAAAGTGCGGCCAAACGTATAAGAAAACCGACTTCTGAGGCACACAAATATCATACAACCTTTTATCAATTCCAACGTTTCTTCCTAACTCTCTCGCCATGGATGTGGATGATGATGTCGAGCTCGGTCCCGGCCGCGATATTCCAACTGACGGAATTCCAGTCAACTTTGTCCCTGCTAAAGCCGGAGACGTCATCAAGCTAGGACTCATCACTTGCCGCGTCTTAGAAGATGGATCCCGCACAGGTGAGCTGCCGCTGGATGATATCCGCAGTTAAATTCGCAGTAGGAGTGTAGATTTAGTTTCATAAAGAGAGAGCTAAACGTATCTGCGCTTCTAGACAATCGCATCGGGGCCGCCGAGTTCACTCTCCCTCCCGGCTTGAAAGGACCTCCAGCCCATTGGCACGAGATGCATGACGAGACATTCTTGACGACTAAAGGCACTATTCGATACCACATCCCCAAGCCTGATGGCACCGAGGACACCATCGATGCGAAAGAGGGCGACTATGTCACGGTCCCTGTTCGGGCACCGCATACATTCAGCAACCCGACTGACCAGGAGGCCAAGTTCTTCAACACATATACTCCGGCATATTATATCAACTACTTCACGCTGCTTGGAACATACGTGCAAGAGGGCAAGCCAATCTTGCCAAAGGAGCATTTGGATGCGATGTCGAACTACGCAACTCTTCCTGTGCCGAAGAAATACTCCCAGAAGAAGTAACAGATTAAGGAAACGGCATTTATGATGCTGAATAAACATGACGGGAATCTTGATTAGTGTACTTGGTAAATCCCGCAAGCTCTGATCACACAAGAATCTTGATGATTGAAAATACTACTGCATTGGTAGAACCATCCGTTCCTGGTTTAGCTACGTTCCATATAGACCTGTTGACTTGCGAGTGACTTAAATATGTCTACATTTCACACTGAGACTCTTCCGTTGTCCACAGTATTAGCCGTCACGTTCCATCTCAAAATCCGGTAAAGAGGGGTTGAGCGGGGTGGTTGTAACATTTCGGCCGGCGCGCATTATGACGCCGGGACTGTTTTCCGGACCCCTCATAGTCTGTGTATTTACCGAGCTCCCATCACACCCCAGGGGTGTCGTCATGTGTTTGAAGCTGCCAAGCTGGGCCTGGCATAGTGTCGAGATTGACAAGACGCAGCAACCCGGGGCTTGGGCTGGCTGCTAACGAAATGATATCTTTGATACGTCTTCTCACTTATAATGATGTTTCCAGCTCACATCTGGCTCTAACGTGACGATGCCTTGACACCTATCATAACTCGTATCGTGCACTGAAGTGAACTTGGAACATCGGAACTCGCCGCTACAAAACCCCTACACCTCTCATCACCATCTATTCTACCCACTCTTTCATATACGATTCTCACAAACCTGGTAGAGACCATGTTTATTGTCGCTTTACCAGCCATTTTCGCCGTGGTCACTCTGACCTTCGGTGTAGTTTACGTACTTGTAGACTACATCCGTATCTTGCGGCTCAGACAACGAATGGCACCGGGGCCATTCCCACTCCCGCTTTTTGGCAACATCTTCCACATCCCAAGTAGTAGACAGTGGAAGAAATTTGAAGAATGGTCGCTGAAGTATCAATCTCCCATCATCACAATCTGGGACGGACACACCCCGGTCGTCATTTGCAATGATGCTTGGTCCATGTCTGACCTTTGCGACAAGCGGGCAAACATTTTCTCATCTAGACCTGTAAAGACACTCACCGGAAAGATCTTTGGCCTCAACAAGTTCAATCAAGCGGGCCTTGCATATGGCGAGCAGTGGCGTGTACACCGACGCTTGACTGTAAGTCATATTCCCATTCAGAGTTGTTCAATCAATGCCTTCCTTCCGCTTGCAATTTCAGCTGCTGACATGGACAAATCGTGCTCCGTAGCACTCTGCTGCCAACGCCCAGGTGGTCCAGGCATATCGCACTTCTCAAGCCAACGAAGCGAAGGTATTGATCGAAGACTGTCTTACCAAGCCTGATCGATTCGTTGACAGTGCCTTACGCTTTACCGTATCGATTGTATCCATTATTGCCTGGGGCAGACGCATTGGGACTGAATCAGACACCGTCTTGAAGGTAGCACAAGCATATGTTGGTAGCGCCAACCTCGGTTTCCCAGGAAAGACATACACCGAGGCCATACCTGCCCTTGCCCATATGCCGGCATGGCTGAATCCGCTTCCAAACCAACTCAGGAAGCTAGCCCAAACGTCGAACAAGTACTTTTACGCACTTTCAGACGAGGGATCTAGCGCAGTACAAGACAACTTCGCCAAGAGACTACTGAAAGAGAAGGATGAACATGGCCTCAGCAAAGTCGAAATTTCCAACCTCACAGGCAACTTCATCGGCGCCGGGGTTGACACTACCACTAGCACCATGTTGACTTTCGTTCTGGCTATGTGTTTGAACCAGGATGTTCAAAGCAAGGCGCATGATGAAATTGATCGCATCGTCGGCCGTGATCGCTATCCCGACTGGGCCGACGAAGACAGTCTCCCATACCTGGCGGCAGTCATCAACGAAACGCTCAGATGGCGGCCTGCATTTGCTCTTGGCGGGCCTCCTCATGCACCCACCGAAGATGATACCTACAACGGCTTCTTCTTCCCGAGAGGAACATCGATCATTGGAAACCTTTACGCTATGCACCGAAACCCGCAAGAATTCCCCCAACCGCACCGTTTCTGGCCTGAACGTTTTATGGAAGGTTTCGATGCTCCAGCATATCCCAATAAACGTGGACATAACACCTTTGGATGGGGACGTCGAGTCTGCAGCGGCGAAGCATTGGCTCAACAAAGCTTGTACTTCACCATGGTCTCTCTTCTCTGGGCTTTCGAGATCCGCCCGGGTGTTGACGAGAAGGTAAGCTAGTACCAAGATGAGTTTGGTCTTTATCGGCAGCTAATCAATTTCAAACTAGGGTAACGAGGTTATTTTGGATTCAGATGCGTACACTGTATCACAGGTGAACCGTCCACTACCCTTCAAAGTGCGCTTTCTACCTCGATCTGAGACGATTGCAACCTTGGTGAGAACTGGTGCGCAAGAAGCGCGCACGCAATTGCGAGCTTATGACGCAATTACCAACGTCACGTTCGAGAGTGCGCAGTCTGTTTCACTTGATATGCCTATCGCGCAAGCAGAGAAGGGTTCGATCGTTTAGTCCTGATACCTAGGTCATTAGACTGTGTTACGGGCTAGACCCGATTAGTGGATCCGAGCCTCAGCCCGGATACTGCCACGGCTCACCGCGCCGCTTCCGCGGAGGTCCCACTTGAGTGCTTTTCCTCCGCAGAACCTCCGCAGAACCTCCGCTCCAGAAACCTCTACTCCTCAGCTTAGATTCTATATACTGAAATCCCCCCAACGTGGACTCACGTGGGCTGGACTCTTAACAGACTGTGAGGTCTAACACTCGGCTGATTTACTAAAGCAGTGACGCCTTTGAGATATTGAGATATGGGAGTTTCAGACATAATGGGGTTGAATGCGCTTGTATAGGGTTATATTTTCAGTCACAGTGACTCCAGCTACTTTATTCACTATGGAGTTCCTTTTAGGTCCGCTGCCGGACTTATCTCAGCCCGCACCTTGTCTACAAGTTCAGCTCGAGCGTGATGACACGCAACCAGGATGATCCGAATTCTGAATAAGTGCGACCTGTATGAAAAATTGTTCGTGTCACACCATCGACAAGCACTTCCGGGTCTTTTGGTGTGCGTCACGAAGACACATCAGACGGGTGGACATGAGGTAGTATCCACCAAGTATCAGAACATTCAAACAAATTCAACATGAAACTAGAATCCAGATGAATGGAAAAATAATCGCATCCTTTTCGTTGTGAAACCAGTTGAAGAAGTCTGTGGGAACGTTTGTCTGGTTTGGGACTTATGGCGTTAGTTTATCTTGCCACGATTTGCGACCAACTTTTCACATACAACTAGGTAGACGTATGAAATACCTAGCAGGCAGTAGCAAGGTTCTGCCTTACTGCAACAAACATGTTGGGCAGAAATACCGTGACAAAATGAAAATATTATGCATTCGCTTTCCATCTCGTTTGGTTTCCAGTGCAATTTACATGTTGGCTCTCGCATGAGACTGTACATAAGGTAATTTAGTTTAACGTTGTGGGCGGCAAATCTGCAACAGATAACATGAGCCCTCCATCTCTATGTGAAGAGTTGTGATGTTCCAAAACTCCAATTATCTTTGTTGAGATGAAACTTACACAATAGTGAGATTAAGATGATAACTCTGTTTAAGCTTTCCGTGGTTCTTTTTACCGACTTTAACCAGTCTGAAGGCAATCAGCTATGGTTTGAAGGGCAAATCACAACGGCATTTGAAATCACAGCATACTTAGTAGCCACGTGGTTCGAGAAGGATTGCATTCGTTTGGCACACCACTGCTTTGAACATATCACAAGGCAAGTATCATGAGGATATGGAATTTCGGTGCTTCAATTCTTTTACTTTGATTTGCTCGACTCAACTAGAACACACTCGTTCACTTTCTCCTTTGGGCTGGAGATGTAAAGACCACCTAGTAGCAAGCGCCCTGGAGCGGCTGGGCCGTCCGAGCTGTAAGAAACCTAGAACACCCCAGCTTCACCACTTTACGGTTACCGGACATTGACTCGAACCTGGAAGTTCACTGGCTTGACGAACCAACAGTTCCTAGTCACCCATGTAGCGTCCCTGCAAATCTCAAAATCGAACTCGTGCAGTAATCTTGGCATTAATTTCGAAATTTCTAGGATGGAAATGTGTCTTCCGATGCAAGTTCGTGATCCTAGGCCGAACTATCAGCTTGTCAGTGACGGCATCAAACGGCAAAATACGCAATCTCTAAATTTCTTTCAGGTGGCTTACCGGCATCCAGTGTCTGTTCATGGCTGACAAACGATCGGTGTCCGTAGTCAACCATCGATCCGGTCTGAAAGAGGCTGCATCTTCGCCAAAGATGGATGGGTGGTGGTGCTCAACCCAAGTGTTGATGCCCACGATGGTCTGGCAATGATTAGTGAATGTCAATCAGTGTACACTGCTATCGTGGTTTCAACATACCCCGGCTGGAAAGAATTTTCCGGCAATCGTTGCTCCTCCTTCGGGAACAACTCTCTCGAGAGGAAGCCCAGTCGCGGGATGCAATCTCAATGCCTCTTTAATGACTGCCTGGAGGTATGGCAACTTCAGACTCTCCTGGAAGTTTATTCGCCGAGGATCACCAGCTCTCTGGGAATAGAACTCATCAATCTCTTTTTGCAGCTTGCTCATCTCTTTAGGATTCCGGAGAAGCTGATACAAAATGGCACTGAGGCTGATGGCGGTCGTGTCTGAGCCTGCAACCATGTTTGACACACAACCCGCCAGAACATGGTACTGAGAGAATTTTGATGAGTCCTCGGAGTGTTTTCCAAGAAACTTGGAGAGAAAGTCCATCGTCCCAGACTGTTCTGAGAGATGTGAAGTATCCTCAGCATCGACTGCTTTGGGTTTTGCCTGATGGTCTGCCAAGCAACCCTTGGTGAACTCGACGATGAATTGCCTGCCAGTGCCCTGTTTACCTAGCCGACTCCTGATGGGTGCTAAGTAGGAGTGGAGATATGAGTATACTCCCACCATAGTCGCGTAGTAGAGGTGGTTTTCGAGGTTCTTAATCACCGCACCGACATCGAGGCCCCGGTCTAGAAACCCAAGTCTCTTGGAGTAGGTGATCATTCCAACCACATCAAATGCGTAACACTGGAACCAATGACCCATGTCAACAGGCTCTGCCGTCTTTCCTCTGCCACTCATCTCTGAGAGCCTTCTGGAGAATAAGTCCGCGCACTTGTCGACGTAGCTCTCGTAGTGCACCAAGGAGGACATGCTGTACATGTTCTGGTAGAGGCGCCGATTCTCACTGTGGCGCTTCTCGTCTCGGTCTGAGAACAAAGACCACTGGTGCGGGTTTGGATCACCCCACGTGTCATACCACGTAGACTTTGAAAATGCGTGGCCATGACCGTAAATCACCTTCGCTGCGTGGGGGTCGTTAATACTGAATCTATTCGGACCATATCGAACAATTGGGCCTTGGGGGAGTTAGCTCATCTATACCCAAAATCTTGAAATTGACGGAGTCTTCGAGTCAAGACTGCATTTCTCTCTAAGATAACTTCTCTAGGAAGGTGACTTGCCATATTTCCGGTGGAGTTCAATGTTATCAACCTCGAAGCGGCCCTGATGAATCCGCCATGCGTACCATAGGTCCGTGAATCGCGCAAAGAACGGGCCGGGGACGGATGCGAGTGGGGCCGCGAAGCCGCGATAGATCTTTGCCAGGAGCTGCACTCCGACAAAGAGTGCGATTATCACCACAAGAACGTACGTCTGCATTCTATCGACTGATACGGCTGTTGCAAACCCCCTCTGTGGATGCTTGGAAATGTGTGTGATCAGGTAATCCAACAGCTATCGCAGCTGCGCAAGAGAGATAACGACGGGAGCTCGAAATCGACCACTGTGCTCTCCGCAGTTTCCGAGGCTAAGGATGTTAGCCAAGGGATCCCGAAGGCGGGGTCAACCATTGCTAATTTCCACTATCAAGTCGAGGCTCTAGATGACGTACGGTGTCCGCGGACAACTTCATGGCTACCCCGCATGTCTGCTTGCTTGTGGTCCCGGCTGCTTCGGCCGGCAGTCCGAGCGCAAGAGAATATCTCATTACTAGTCTGTCAAAACCATCCCATGCTCGATGACCACCAATCACATCTTTGGTAACTGTTGCTTACTTCTTTCGATGAGCATCAGCGGGGCATCGGCCGAACACCGCTGAGATTAGAAGTTTAGAACTCTAGGCTTTGGATGATGGAGTTGCAAAGGGCCTCTCGGCCCCCGAGATGTTGATCATGGAGGTGCCTTGTCTAACGGAGTTCAGCATAACTACAGGCAAAGTTCTGCCTTACTCCAAGCACTTGTTGACCAAGCAAAGTGAAGCCATTGACAAGAGCAACAAAGAATTACAACATGCAGAGCACCCTTCCAGCATCGTGGTATCGTGAGCCAGGCTTTTATCAACTGGAGAGACGCGCTGTCTTCAGTAAATCATGGATTCTAGTCTCACATGTCCACCAATTCAGCGAGCCAGGCAAATACGCTCGCTATGAGATGGCCGGTTACCCCTTTTTCATCATTAAAGACCGTGCCGGGAATATCAATGCCTTCCTCAACGTCTGCCGCCACAGAGCATTCCCAATTGTTCATGAAAAAGAGGGGAAGGCGTTTGTGCTGTCTTGCAAATATCATGGTATGCGCCCTTACCCGGCTTCTGACTGTGAGCTCCAGTACTCACGCTACGGCAGGTTGGTCTTACAGCATGAATGGCAACTTGGCCAAGGCGCCTCGTTTCGACCAGGTCGAGGACTTTGACAAAAGCGAATATGAACTCTACAAGGTGCACAGCCATGTCGATAGTCTAGGGTTCTTCTGGATCAACCTGGACGCAGCTGAAAAGCCGACGCTTAGCTGGGAGGAACAATTTGGCGGTGTTGATAAACAGCCCCGGTTAGAGAGCTTCGACATGAGCAATTATGAGTACGACCACACTTGGTCAATGGAGGGGAAATTCAATTGGAAAACATTGATTGAAAATTATAACGAGGTTTGTGCAATCAACTCCGATCTTTATAGTTGGTTAGTCTCAGACTGGGTACTGATTCTGTGGGCCTCCTGCAGTGTTACCATTGCCCGACAGCTCACCCTGGCCTCGCACCTTTCTTCAAGGGCAACAAACAGATGAACTATGGTCTCAATAAGTACTGGGTTGAACACCTCGGTGCAAAAGGAGAGCAACGTGCCAGCTCTGTCAGTCCTACATACATGTTCCCCAACGCTTCGGTCACTCTCACGTGAGTTAAAGTCATTCCCATGTGGTCTTAAGCAGGCTGGGCTAATTTGGTCTCCAGGCCTGTATTCTTCTACATGATGTCAATCGTACCCACATCTGCCACCACGAGCTTGATGCGGTACGAAGTCTATCGGTCAAAAACGGCGACTCCAGAAGAGTTGAAAGAAAAGCTGGACTTCTTCAGCCAAGTTGAGTCAGAGGACAAATGGCTAGCCAACGGATCGCAGTCCAATCTCAATAGTGATACGTACACTACTGGGCCATTTCATCCTGATGTGGAGGAAGCGGTTGTCTATGTCATTGGAAAGGTCAAGGGGCTTCTGCACGACCATGTGGCCGAGGAGAGAAAGCGTGGGTCGGAATGGTGGCCGGCTCGCAGAGGCCCTGTCCAAGCGACGAGATCATCCGCCGAAGAGGATGAGGCGTTCTGTCGGGGTGTTTGTTCGAGCTCTAGCATGAACGACAAATCTGTAGTCGAGGGCTTGGCGTGGTGATTTAGTTCTGTTTGATTTTTAGGACTTCAAATATTTAGATGAGCGATCAATTGAGACGCTCAAAACATTGTATATTTCACACGAGGTGATCACCTGGGCCGAGATAAAAGCTGGATGTCCTGGAGAGCTATTGTGCTACCAGGCAGATACCACCATACCGTTGCCGTCATCATGAAAGTTATTTGGTGGAGGCTTACGCTCGCGCAGATGCAGGAGAATAGTTGGAAACAGTAATTTGACGCTCGCAAAGTAACGGAGGCCGATGTTAACTGCATTAGTAATGTGGTAGGCGCGTTCGCATCCAGGGCAATTTAGTGTAAGGTAGCTCACCAGACCGTACCGCGTCCAACGGCTCGGTGGTTAACTGGCTCCCTACCATTGGAAAGTACTGGAATTCCAGTCTAATCCCAAAGGCACTCTAGTTCAATGCTTGGCAATTGGCAAAAGACGAGTCAGTGGTGATAAATAGGGTAAATGACGCATGATACTTTGAGACGATAGCCTGTCGACAACAGAATCAACATTGAAACGTATCAGTAACCCCTGCTTACTCAATTACCAATTATTCCGCTTCCAACCACTTGACCGCAACTATCATCATGGCCGGCTTCACTTCCACACTCCCCCGCACACTTCTATCTCCATCTCTATACAACCATGTACACAATGTTTGGTTTCAAGGCATAGCACCTCGTGCCAAGATTGCCTCACGAGAAGCAATGACGCGTTGGTTCGGTCAGGGGTCGCCGGAAGACCGTCGAGCCTTTGACGACATGTGCACGAAAGAGTTCGCGGCCGCTCTAGAATCCATCGGACCCGAGAAGTTCCCTCTTCCGCCTTCGAACAATTTTTCAGAGGAGTCTGCCGCAGTCGAAAACATCGCAGGTCCATTGATGCAAAGCATCAACACCTCGGACGGAGAAACCAAAAGCATGCAGACACTTGCACTCGTTCTCCTGCTCGATCAAATGCCCCGAAACATATTCAGGACACGCCAGGCCGTCATCTACACGCATTACGATCGGCTTGCACGGGCAGTCCTCCGCAGCCTCATGAGTGCTGAATCGCGCCCTGACATGCACTCCTCGCTCCGATTGGCGCCAGCACGGCGTATGTGGTTTTATATGCCGCTGATGCACTCCGAACATGTTGAAGACCACGAGACATATATCAAAGTTGTCACCGAGATGCAAGAGGAGTTTCGACAGCAGGGAGACAAACAGAGCGAAGACTATATTGGGGACAGTCTAGAGTTCGAGAAGAAGCATAAGCATCTGATCGAGCGGTTTGGGAGGTATCCGCACCGTAATGCGCAGCTGGGCAGATCGATGACGAAAGAAGAGGAGGAATACCTTCGAAGCGGAGGAGAACACTTCGGAACCGCAGCGTAATAAGACGGGAGGGTTGGCTAAATGCGTGTTTGTAGCTGTATATAAACAGGGCATGCATGTAAGGATATCTCAATCCTTCTCATTCTGCTATGACCACATCTCATCCAAGAAGAACCTGCTTAACGATCCTCACTTCCTCCGTCGTGCCGCAGATGAGACCTGCTCTACCATCGCAATCCTTCTGAATCTTTTCAAGCAGTGGCCTGCCATCCGTGGGGTCAATGGCTTGGCCACCCGCGCACTCCATGATCAGAGCAATCGGGTATAGCTCGTAGAGGAATCTGAGCTTGGGAAGAACACCGGGCGTAACAGGCATAACATAGACGCCATGACCCTTTACAAGCGCATGCACAATGTCGGGTACAAGGCCGCCGCAATACCGCAGCGTGTACTTCTCCTTGATGAACCGCGTAATGAGAGCGCTGTACCTCTCATCGTCCGCCGCATGTCTGAGGTTCGCGGGCGCAAAGTATCGCGTCTTGAAGGGCGCATCGGCCAACTTGACGACCGGCCGGATAACCTCGCAGTCTGTCACACCGTTCGGGCCGTATCCGATCTCAAAGCAAGCGGAGTCGGCGCCGGGGATCCGCATGGCGACAATGGCGGTAGTCCGGGGCCCGATGACACCAATAATCGCCGCAATTTGCTTCTCAACCGGTGACTGGCCCACCGCGGTCCGCCCATCCCAGATGCCGACGATTGTTCCGACCGTCCAGTTTGGCGCGATGATGGAGCTGCCGTCGAGGGGATCGAAAGCGACGGTGTATTCCTCTGAGGTTGCAGGGGTCTCGTTTGCGCCAGCGCTCGCTTGTGGCCTGGCAGGCTTCTCGACCGGGTCCTCCTCACTGCTCGCAGTCTGGATCGAGGGGCATTTCGCAATAGCTTCGCGCATTACGTTCTCGGAGAGCACGTCGACGTTGAGCTGGTCGTCGCCAAAGGCGTTTGCTGTCCCAGCAAGTGAGACGTGCTGGGATGCCTGTAGCGTCTTGGCGATGCTGGAAATGGCGTCGAGGATTGCCGGGAATACATCGCTGCGGAGAGACGAGCGGTCCCCTTGCGGAATCACCTTCTCCAAAAGCTGCGCAAGAGCTGGCGATGCCGACATGACTGGTTGTGAACTTGGTATGTGAGGCCCCTCAGAAAGTGTTGAGTCAGGACCGAAGTGAGTTATTTTAGGATCAGTGAGGTTGCGAGAATTTACGCTACGGCGTGGCCCCCACACATTCTCGACGGGTTCTCCCTTGGTCCACCATTCTCACACTTATGGCGTCAAACTCAAACTCACGACTACTTGACGTAACGGACTTGCACCTTAATCGAGACATCACGAGCTCTGGATTCCTGAAAAGCTTTCTTGTCTGCTAACTATATCTGCACTGAGTTACAGGTCCGCTCGTCTTAAGACGTTGCATCTTCTTCAGAAAGATGCCTTGTTGAGATGTTGAATCAATCTGTCAGCAATAGATAGAGCTCATGTCTTATCGCACACTTTGTCACTCCGTGTCTGTGATTCGCTAACGACTCTCTATGAGAAGAGCAAATCACTAAGCTTGTGAGCTTTCCTCGCCAGAGTCTCCCCCCTGCCGTTTAAAGCCATCGTAAAACCGTCTTTCCTCAAATACCCGAATATCATCATCGAAGTTGACCTTGCCAAGTTTTCGCGCCTTCAATATCTTTCTTCTCACTCGCATCACATCGTACTCCGTATTCCTGGTCAACCACCATGTCCATAGGTTGGCGACAAAAGAGGCGATAGTTGTCGCCGCTGCTATCGCGAAGCTTGTCTTGTAACCGTTGTATGCGAACTTGGACTGGAACAGCTGCGGGCCGATAACGCCGCCTAGCTGGGCTATACCTGATTGAAGACCAAGCGTGAAGGCCGTCCCTGTGGATCCCGAGAGTGTGGCAGATCTCCAGGCCCAGAATGGAATGAAGTATGATTGGTAGAACAAAGTTCCCAAGATGCAGGAGATGTAGATGCCATACCGATTGGTAATCGTAAAGAAGAGAACAAAGCACACAACCATGCCAGACATAAGGATCCTAAGTAAACTTCTAGTCAGTGACCCATACCTCGTATCTCAACTCTCAAATAAGACTCACATGATATAGGCTGGCCGGACGATGTACGCTCTCGACATAAACCACGCTGAAAATATTAAGCCCACGATGGCGGCAAACGCAGGAGGCATGTTCAACAGCTGATTCCTCGGCAGCCCCACAAAGCCGAGATTAGTAACAATTGTAGGCAAGTACCATGTCAACGCGTATCCTCCAATGTTGATGAGGGTCTGCGACAGCATGAATGACCAAATCAATGGTGTTCGTAAGACTGCCCAAATCTCTTTGCCGGCGAAATCAGGATCGTTAGTCAGGGGCGCATTCTCCGGTAACCTTGCCTCTACAAACTCTTGTTCCCTCTCTGTCAGGAAGCGGCTGCTGCGCGGGGACTTGGGGTAGTCTGGTAGCAGCCAAAATACGACACCGGAAAAGACGATGGTAGCCAGTCCTTCGAGAAGGTACACCCATCTCCAAGCACTAATACCACGAATTCCGTTCATGTAGCTGATACCATAGCATAAGAGCGATCCGATAATACCCGCCAGGTTGGACATGGCAAAGAACCAGGTCACTGGCTTGCCTATTTCATCTGTGCGGTACCAGCTAGACAGATGAGCCATGATGCCCGGAAACATACCCGCTTCGAACATCCTGGGATGAAGTCAGCCCGCTTTTGGTCTATACATCATACAGACACTCGAAAATCACCCAAGCAAAAATCGCATAGCGTAAAGTTCATGCCGATTTTGAGCTGCAGCTTGGCAGGCCGTAATGATTCCCCAGGTGAGGAAAATACGAGACTGCCAAAGATGTGGACTCATACGCTTTAAGAGAAGATTACTAGGCGCTTCGAAGATAATGTAGGCAATCTATCCTTGATGAGTCTTTCACAACAATGAATAAGTTGCTTGTTGAGCCTGCGTAGTTACTTACACCGTAGATGGATCCAACCCAGTTGTATTGATCAGACGTCATGTCGAGCTCTTTCATGATATTTCGCGACTCCCCTGCTTGCAACACCCGAACATTTGCAGCATTGGTTTGGTCAATCTGGAAACTCGTTAGCATGCTGAGGTGCATGGCTTCAGTCAGTTTCCAGCATGAGTCTACCTGCTTGATCATGAACATCACGCCGATGAGAACCAGGAAGGCTCTATCAACTTTGTTGATGACCGACCTTTCCTATTCCGCAGAAAACGTTGAAAGAAACGCCGCTCGAGCTTCTGGGTCATCTCGTAGGTTGTCGACATTGGCTCGAGCCACGGCTGCGTTGGCTTGCTGCTTACGGCTCGCGGCCGTTGCATCGTGGTCGATCCGGACTTCGTCGGGCTGTATCGACGCGCGCATCATGGAACCGGTGATCATTGTTACAAGCCATTAGATTACTTGGGGGCCAACTTCAAATGGATGTGGTCTTTTAAATCAAGTAACTGATTGGTGCCGACACCCAATACCCGATGCCGGCAATTCTCACTATCTGCATCTCCATATCGAGTGCCTTATCAGCGGGGATCCAGGGGAATATGCATGATGTGCTCGAAGGTGATATGGCGATATAATGCTTGAATTGTGATGAGCTTGTACAAAATGCTTCTGAATTGTCGTTGCATCTGCACATCATTCGCCGAAGCGCCCCGAGAACTGATGGCGGAATCATGGCCCACCCTTCCATCATCTGCAGGATTCCTGTGTACCAACCCAACGACGTTGTTCTCGCGGGGCTAGTCCGGCTAATATCCGAGTCCTTCTAATCCATCTTCAGCAATTCTTGCTCGTCGGGAAATACACAGACCGGCGAGGAAATGTTTACCATGTCCGATAAAGGAGTCCAACAACCGCATAAAGGGGATTAAGGTACCACTTCTCGGAAAATATCCGTAGGATTTCCGCACGCAACATGCAGATAAGATGACGCCAAAGGGGCATGGATGTTATAAACTACAGGCACTTACTTTGAACTTACTTTATTGTGGCAGCAAGGGTCAAGCAAGTCTTGACTGAACATCGGCCGAATTGAAGCATACGAACAGTGATCTTCCTCCGGCCCTGACAATTGGTTGTACAACGCCGAGCTCTACTTTTGTTGATAAATTTGAACAACCGCAGTAACTATGGCTTTCTCAAAGAGCCAAGACGGCGGTACAAGTGCCAAGTCTCAAAAGCAGATTCTTCTCAATGCCTTCGATATGTTCACTGTAGGACACCTGTCCTTTGGCCAATGGCGTAATCCCAAAGACAGAGCCAAAGACAAACGCCGCGATCTCAGCTATTGGACAGACCTAGCAAAGCTCCTCGATAAAGGAGGATTTATGGGCCTGTTCTTGGCCGATACTTTTGGGCCATACGACACGTTAGCGTCACCTCATCCTCTGCTCCAGCCAACATCGTCATTGCTAATATGGCTTTCAGATATAAGGGGAGCGCAGAGCCCTCGGTCAGAACAGGCGCCCAATGGCCTATGGCCGACCCTGTCATCGTGAGTATGACCTTGGTAGCAATGTCTTCATCGCGCGTGAACCCTACGATATGCACCGCTGATGACTAACATGATATTAGCCCGTTTCCGCGATGGCTGCTGTCACCAAGAATCTTGGATTTGCCATCACGACGTCAACTTCGTACGAGCAGGCATACGTGGTTGCAAAACGCTTCAGCACCCTCGATCACCTGACGAAGGGGCGTTTTGGATGGAACATTGTCACCAGCTGGAAAGAATCAGCTTCCAAAGCTGTAGGATCCTATCCTTGATGTTTCATTGCGCTACATCTAACACTAAGCGGCAGGTTGGCCTTCCGTTAGTTGAACACGACACCCGGTACTCAAATGCAGACGAGTACTTGCGAGTTTTGTACAAGTAAGTCTTGGGATTGATGAAATCGCTCATTCAGGCGCACTTACCGGATTATGTAGATTGTGGGAGGGCTCTTGGTCAGATACCGCATTGGTAGAAGACGCAGAGAAAGGCATATACTCGGATTACTCTCAGATTCGTCCCATCCATCATCATGGCAAGTTCCATGTCGACGCACCCTTCCTGACAGACCCCTCCCCACAACGCACTCCTGTACTGTTCCAGGCCGGCACATCTCCGTAAGTTCCACGTACCTTTCAGAGTCTTGAACTTGGATGCTGATCATTCCTGAAAGCGCGGGCATCAAATTCGGGTCCACTCACGCCGAAGGCATCTTCGTTGCCGGTCTCTCTCCACATGTTGTAGCACCTAGAGTCAAGGCTATCCGCGACGGCGCCATCGCCGCAGGGCGAGACCCCTACTCCGTTAAAGTCTTCGCCATGATCACCCCCATCATCGGCAAAGACGAAGAAGATGCCAAGCAAAAGTACGAAGAAGCCCTGAAATACGTCCTCATCGAAGGTGGCCTCGCCCAGTTCTCTGCAACCACGGGCATCGATGTGTCTCAATTCGATCTGGACCACGAACTCACCGAGGCGGATGTTGCGAGCCACCTCCAACGTATTCACTCTTCGCTATACAATCTGCGCTATCGCGGGGATGATGTGCCAAAGTTAACGCCCCGGAACCTGGGTACAGTCACGGCGATCGGTGGGAACGGGGCCATGCCGGTTGGTACCGCGGCGCAGGTTGCGGATATTTTCCAAGAGTGGGTAGATATCGCCGACGTTGATGGATTCAACATTGGCTACGTCGTCACACCTGGCAGCTTTGAAGATGCTGTCGAGTACCTCGTCCCGGAGCTCCGTAGCAGAGGATTGTTGCCGCCGGCGATTCCCGAGGACGAGCCGGCTCCTACTTTCAGAGAGCAGATCTACGGCCATGGACAAAAGGGGCTGAGGTCTGACCACCCGGGATTCAAGTACAAGTATGACACTTACGAAGAGACTGTCGCTAAGGAAGATGCTGCGAAAGTTGCAACGGCGGAATAATGAAGATAGCTGAAAGCCGTCTGTTATGAAGCAACTTTGTTAAGAGTTAGCCTCAACGAGCCGCACATTTTTTTATCCAAAACCTTGTATTCATTCAGAGTTACGTCATGGTTCTCATGAACCAAAGTATTCATGTCGAGACTGCCTCTCCTTGCACAGTCAGTAATCTTGCTCGATTGCCACCCTGAATGATTTACCTGAGCCGATAACTTGATCTAATTGCTGGCCATCTTAAGAAAGCGATACCATCGAATGATTCACTCATCATGATTTTCTCTGAAAATAGGAAAATGTTTTCCTGCCGCCCGCATCATCTAACTCTCATTACGAGTTGGTTCATGCACCAGCACCAAGTAGCTCATCGATGAATATAACTCGGCCGCTTGGCATGAAGCGCGTCCGATCCTGGTGTGGGGCCGGACCCCCCACCGGAAGCACAATAATGTGGTCATCAAAGACAGCCAGCCTTAAAGAGGAAGCAATAAGCACGCCCGCAAGCGGTGAAGTCCCGGTAAATGTTGCCAAGACTCAAACATGTGCCGAACGTGGATCCGTCAAGGTAGGATTGACAGGTGACCACCGACCCGGTTCAGCAAAAACTCGACTGCTCCCCGCAATCCCCGCATCATCCAACTCGGTCACAGCACCACCATCGGGATAAAGCAACGACTCACAAGCAGCTTTTCGGATCCAGCGCCATGGCCAGAGGTTTATCGATGGTCCAGGTCGCGGTTATTGGAGCTTTGAGGATCTAGTTGACCCCGCCAGGCTAGAGGTAGGGCCGACTCAGACCCCAGGCCTTAGACTTGGGACTTGGAATTCATCAACACAGATCCATGCCACCGCACTCAATTATCACTCTTGCGATGTGTCAATGTGGATGCTGCGGGATGTCCGGGGTCTCCGCACCTATTCCATTGGATCGAAGACCCGAACCTATTCCGGTGCCCAGCTTCGAGATCGTCTTGGACGAAAGAAACAGCGCCACCCACCTTCCGGCTCGATGGGACGAATTTCTGGGGTGTCTAGCTCAAGTCTATTTGGATAAGCTTAACAACCTTATGCAACGTATGTGAAGCATCAATTCTTAGCTCAAACAGCTAGCTACTTCATCATAGCCGTGATTAAGAGAAGGAAGACAGCTTGATATCACACTAGAATTTGATAAATCTAGGAACTGTCAATGCCGAATTGTAACAACGGGGAAATCCAGCGCCCCAGCTTCTGTGGGATCGCTAGATGTCGTACACTTGATTGTGCCATTCCCTGACCTCGCTTTACCTTAGCGCTCTGGATGTATGATAAACCGCGGAGTTCTCTCCTGACAGTGAAGTATGACATCGTCACATCACGCAGCTGGAACCCCTCATCCGCCACACAGCAGAGCCCCATGCCAGTTTTATTGACCGATACAAGGCCGTTAGATAGCGTGCCAAGAACAAATATCGTGTTACCCCCATATCTACACGGTTCGTTGTCCGAGGTAGTATCTACTGCCAAGTCGATCCCATCTCGACGATGTCCGTCTGCCGTCATAAATGCCATGATAAATACCCCTCCGACACTTTTCACCATCTGATGTGGGAAGTTTCATGACGATGAGTCTCAGACCCAATCCCACATTTTGGACCTTCTCCTCTAAGACCTGAGCCGTCATGAAGCTCAACGTGGCAACACTGGCCCTCACCGGCCTCGCCCTACAAGCCAATTGCGCGTCAACCCCCTCCTCCTCCCCAAAACAACAATGGCTAGCCCGCCAGGATGCCGCAGAGTCTCTCCCAATCTACAAAAACTCATCTTACTGCGTCGACGCACGTGTTGAAGACCTTATCCAGCGGATGACGGTCGAAGAGAAAGCCGGCCAGCTCTTCCAAACTCAACTCTACCAAGGCCCCAATGGCACGCTCGACCCTGGCAACGTCACGGCCCGCCGCAACAGCACTGACAACATGATCGGTGAGAAGTACATGACGCACTTCAACCTCGTCGGCGACATCACAGATGCGAAGCAGGTCGCTGAGTTTGTCAACCTCGTTCAGCAGCGTGCTCTGGATACGCGTCTGGGCATCCCCGTGACCCTTTCTACCGACCCTCGGCACCACTTCACAGAGAATATCGGCACCGGGTTCCAAGCCGGAGTCTTCTCCCAATGGCCTGAGACACTTGGTCTGGCTGCTTTAAGGGATCCCGAGCTGGTTAGAAAGTTCGCCGAGGTCGCCCGAGAGGAGTATATTGCCGTCGGCATCCGAGCTGCCCTGCATCCCCAAGTTGACCTTGCCACCGAGCCGCGATGGGCACGTCTGGGCAATACCTGGGGAGAGAACGCGACCTTGACAAGCGAGCTCATTGTAGAGTACATCAAGGGTTTCCAAGGAAGGGAGATTGGCCCTCACAGCGTGACCACAGTGACAAAGCACTTCCCGGGCGGCGGCCCGATGGAAAATGGTGAAGACTCTCACTTCACATACGGCAAGAATCAGACATATCCCGGGAAAAACTTCGAGTACCACCTCACCCCCTTCAGGGCGGCGATTGCAGCCGGCGCGAGGCAGATGATGCCGTACTACTCCCGACCGATCGGCTTATCCGATAACTCAACCGATTATGAACCAGTCGGCTTCTCCTTTAACAAGCAAATTGTCACAGACCTACTCAGAGACCAACTTGGCTTCGAAGGTATCGTCGTCACTGACTGGGGTCTCATCACTGATACGGTAATCCGCGGCCAAGACATGCCGGCACGCGCGTGGGGCCTCGAAAGCACGACCGAGCTGGAGCGCGCAGCTCGTATCCTCGATGCTGGGTGCGACCAGTTTGGTGGTGAGCAGCGTACCGAGCTCATCATTCAGCTGGTAGACGAAGGCATCGTGTCCGAAGACCGCCTTGACATCTCCGTCAGACGTCTCCTTCGCGAAAAGTTCCTCCTGGGGCTCTTCGACAACCCCTTCGTCGATCCCGAGGCCGCAACGAGAGTTGTCGGCAACGACTACTTCCTCAGGCTGGGCAATGATGCCCAGCGCAGAGCCTACACTCTTCTCACTAACAAGGATGAACTCCTCCCTCTGGAACACATCAGCACAGAAACCAAAGTTTACATCGAGGGTTTCAACGCCACGTTCCTCGAGGCACGCAACCTCACGGTCGTCGAGACACCGGAAGAGGCTGACTATGCCCTGCTCCGCCTTGATGCCCCCTATGAGCCTCGTCCAGGCGGCTTCGAAGCAGCATATCACGCCGGCTCGCTCGAGTACTCGGCCGAGGAGAAGGTGCGCCAGGCCGCGATCTATGCGGCCGTGCCCACCGTCGTCGACGTGATCCTGGACCGTCCTGCTGCGATACCCGAGGTGATTGACGCCGCTTCTGCGGTGTTGGGCAGCTACGGGAGTGGCAGCGAAGCTTTCTTGGATGTGATCTTCGGGTTGAGCAACCCCGAGGGCAAGTTGCCTTTCGATCTCCCACGATCACAGCAGGCTGTGGAGGATGCGATGGAGGATGTGCCGTATGATACGGTTGATCCTGTCTTCAGGTTTGGGCATGGGCTGCGCTATGCCGACAAGTGCTTACTGTGATGGCAAGCGATTCGCGGCTCGACTCTTGCTGTCCTTGGTCGGATGAGCAGAGGCGGTGCTTTTTGAAAATTAGGACTATGAAGGGAGAAGCACTCATGACTGTAACGATTGATGAGACCGGGCTTCTTTTACCCTACTAGTAGGTAATTGTGCCAGGATGATAGCGTTCATACAAGAAAGTTAATGGTAAGTGTGCTGTTGAACAAGAAAAAAAAGGGGTAATCTTTGATTCTTTCTATACCAATTCGAGTCTATCATCAACATCCTTCGCTGCCTCAATGCTCCTCTTCAAGACGCTGGTCTCTGATCCGCTGAGCTCTCTAGCATTCATACCAACCATGCAACTCATATCCTTCTTCCTCGCTCCCTTGACCCATTGCTGGTCAATCATCCAGTGCGTCGGCACCGCGAACTCAGTCGGGTCGTCCATCTTGTTCTTCAATAGCCCGCCATTATACCACAGCAAGTTGTCCACCTCGTCCACATGCGCAATCACGAAGCTGCACACCTGCGTCATCTCGGTCTGCACCCCGCTAAACGGCTTTCGCCAGCCGACCATACCGCCATAGTGCCGCGAGAAGCTGTACGTCGAGCCCGTGGCCTCGAGGCCGATCCAGTACGTCTCCTTGTCGCCGTACGTGATCCTGTACGTCCACGAGTTGCGCACGGCGTGCGTATTCTGCCACGCCGTGTGCAGTAGGCCCATGAGTACGTTCAGCCGGCCCTTGTCAAGCACCACGATGCCAGAGTCGCCCTCCTCGGCGTACTTCTCCGTCCAAACAAGAGACTTTTGCAGCTCCTCGCTCGGGTGCTTGATCATCTCGTGGAACCATTCGTGTCTCTCGGGGAACTGGTCTTTCCAGAGCAGTCGGTCGTGGAAGAGAAGCGCGCCCTTTTCTTGGTAATTGCGCTGTTGGAAGAGCTGCTCGGGTTTCTGCAGGAAGACGACGTCCGCATCCAGTAGAATAACTTCCTCAAATCGGCTGCCGAGCGCGGCAAACGGCTTAATTGCCCATCCTCCCTCGGCCAGCTTCAATGTCGTGTCGTTGAAGACGGTCAAAATGTCCAAAAATTCGATGCGTCCGCCATCGCCCTCGGCAGCTTGCACAAGCGTGTCACGATCCTCCTCCGATAAGTCTTCCTCGCCGGCGTAAACAATTTGAATGGGCAGCGTAGTCTGCAAAACGCGCGTCAGGGACGCAACCAAATGACACGCAAACCGCAGCGTGCCGTGTCCCGTCGGAATGACGATACCGGCATTTCTCGGCACATACTCCGGCTTCTCTTTGCCGGACCCGGCGGTGCCGGTGCCGCCTACACCCAATTGCTGTGCCGGGGCCCGCGGGGGCGCACGATCAGCGGCAGCGCCCCCCATAAACCTTCGCCTGAGATCGGCCAGAGGTGTCTGGCTGTGGATGTCCCTCGGCGGAGATTGCAAACAAGGGAACAGGGATGCGGCGACTCGCTCGACCTGGGCGTCGAGAAACTGTCTCTCGGCCCCCACAACCCGCAACCCGTCGGTGCGGCCGCCCTCCTTCTCCTCGAGCGCCTCGATCCACGAGCGCAGCACCTTTGTGCGCTCACCCAGCTCTCCAAAGACTTTCTTGTATGGCGGGCCGAGGGGGTAGTCGATGAAATATTGTGCGGTCGCGTTGATGGCGTCGAGGTTGAGGCCGGATGTCTTTGAGGTGCGGAAGCTGAAGTTGGCGGATGTGAAGGGTGTTATCGCGCCGTGGAATCGGAGGAGGTAGACGACGCAGAGGGTGATGAAGGCTGCGCCGGCGATGATTGGCGTCGACTGACCGCCATATCGCGGTGATACTAGGAGACGAACCATCCTTGACGCCCTTTCACATTCCCTTCTTCTCCTCTTTCAAAGTCGTGTTAGCAGTTGTCGGGTTTCTTTTGCAGCAAAAAAAGCTCGCAATAGAACTAAGGAGCTGGGTATTCTCCCCGCGTCTTGACTGCCTGGGCCCGCGGTCTTTTAAAGAGCCAAGACCTTCAAGCTGTGCTTCCATTTTTGGGGTGTTGAGACCGGTGCTAGCCTAAAGCTTATTATGCCGATGTTCCTTACTCCCGCGTCAACCCAGACTCAGCTTAATCTATCTGACTGGCGACACTTGCGCAGCTTTCACCCCGGCTCGCGTGTTCCGAGATCAGAGATATCTGCGTCCTGCCCGCCAGTCACAGGCAAAGCCGCAAGATGATGCCAGCGGCAGCCAAACCAACAAGCATAGCCCATCCCCTTTGCCGTTAGGACCAACGACGAGTGGGCAGGGCACGCAGGGGCCACGCCAGCAGGTCTCAGCCATTGGAACTCGACTCGTCTCGTCATCTCATTGCGAATCCCTCTAGGGCTAGGCTTTGCAGCGTGGAGGGCTTTGAGGGGACGAGTCCAGGGACGCCCCTGGACCCCAAGCTACCGGGACGAACACGCGTCTTGGATATAGCATGGGCCCACGTCTAAAGCCCACAGGGTCCAGGCCACGAATCAACCCCCCCGCATTCCGAAAGGCTTCAAACCCCTTTTTTCCCTTTCTTCTCTTCTTTGATCAACGATGGAATGGCATGTCAGATATATCAGCCGGCCACTAAGCTCACATTTATCTGCCGTACATCCGTGACGGCGTTTTGAGTCCTTGAGTTTCACATTTGTCTTGATCGTTTTCTCCCCTACACATCTTCGAGCGGCTCAACGGTCGGTGGCTGAGAACAGGTGGTCCTCGCCAAAGCTGGCTGTCGCCATTGACACTGGGACAGCGCTGGAAGTCCGCTTCAACGGCCCTGACAAGGCGCAGAGCTCATTTGAAGCTCAAGGTATCTCACGCCAATTGGGCGGACGCTCCTGCTCATCTCATTTGATTCGAAACTCGTTGATCAGCTCGTACTCGAAGCGATGAGCCTTTCATTTTGGTTCGACCTGCTATTCCAGGCAAAGTGGCTTGTCAGCTGAAATTCTGAATCGAGACTTCAGGGGGGGATGCTGTCGGGCTTCGATCACGAAATGGTGCTAGCGCCAAGAAAGGGACATTAGCGCCAACGATCGCTGCTTACCTCAATTATTTCATGTTCATGGGTCTCGCCAGTGGGATGACTGACTCGCACTTCCTGGGTAGTCAGCAAAAGAAAGCTGTCTGGCGTGGCAGTCTTCTGTGTCAAAGTCAGAGCATTTTGATATCCAAAGCCGACAAAGAAGGTTGAGGTTCAAGTATGCGACTTCCCTGCATGTAAGGCAACTAATGCTATCAGAACGACAGGGCAACTACATCGGAAAAAGCCGTTGCGACTCGCAAGAACATAACCCGAAGATTGTTATGTGGCTTGACATGTAATTCTGCGCCTAAATGTCGAGCCACACACGTGATATCGAAGCAGAACCACCTTCCCAGCCCGTCGTTTTGATCCAAGGAATCATGGCCAGCGAGGCCGCAAAATAGTAGAAGAGGCCGCCTTGTTCAGGGCTCTAAATATGATCTATGCCTCTGTTTCTTCCATAGGTTAAGAATATCTCGATGTTCATGATGAGAGACACGCGGCCAGATTCAGAGCTGTGAAGTCCTACTTGACGTGCACGAACTGGGTAAAGTCGCCAGCTAACTGCATACGCGTTGTTCTTCCGGCCTGATCTGGATTCGAGTGGCCGTGACTTCTGAGCTACCGAGTGGCAATATTCCAGTACGCCGGTTCAATGATTGTCAAGCCCACGTCGAGCTTTAGGTTCACGTGATGTCGAGTTGAAGTTATCCTTCGAGAGCTAAGCCCACCGCCAGCGCGGCGTTACCTTAGTTTCTGCAACCGCGCTTCTCGCTCTATACCAATTCAATCGGACGTCCATGAGCTATCCAACGATTCGAAGCATGAGGTAATAGAAGCCAGCGTCATGCTTGCGGTGTTCTGGCTGAAGGAAGCAAGCTCGGGAAAGACATCCACCTTCGGCGAGTGGAGGTTAATATCGACGAAGGATATACTGGTGTTGTTAAGGAGGCTTTCACATTCACGAAGAGTGAATCTCTGAATATCTCGGATGCGGATGTCAATTCCTGGAAGAGCTAAAGTCCTCGTTCTGACACCTCAAGCAGCCGTCAACATTGCGAGAGCCAACTTCAAGGGTCGTGCCAGACAACTTCTCAACCTTCCCTCCAAAGCTCATTGTAACACCTCGGATCGATAGAACTAAGTGAAAGTTTGCGGATGCGAGATGACGCAGACGCCTCCGTATGCTGGCATGGCGTCAATTCTCCTCCACCCCATGCTGCTCTGCATCGGCATATTTCACGATACGGCCGTTCCTCCAAGTATCAACAACCAGGAAATCCACCTCTCGTATGATATATCTGCCAACACAACCCAAGCATCTAAGCAGACGAGGTAGCAGAAGGGGGAGCATTCTTCTTCGCCGCCTCGTCCATCTCATCCAGGGAGGCTTGCATGGCGTGCTCCACGGCAGTCGCCTCGTCGAGAAGCTTGATACGGCCATAATCAAGCTTTATGCATTCCTGGATATCCTTCATTGCCCCGCTCCAATTCTGCAAGCCGAAGTTGCTGAACTTGCGGACCTGCTCAGGTGCTGCTGCATAGAGTTGTTGCTGATCTCAGCGATCTTCTGTAATAGGCCGATTCTCTCAGCCAAGGCCTTCAGCATATCTACAGTCTTCTCGCGGGCCTCCTGGTTGATTTGGAAAGCTGCGTTGAGGGTGATGGCACCGAAGTTGCGGGCGGCGTCCAGCTCGTTCATCAAGTCGACAATCTCCAGCTGAGACTTCTCAGCGGCCTTGGCCTCCACATAAAGCGCGTCAGTCAGTGCCTGCGACTTCTCCTCGGCGGCCTCAAGCTTCTTCGTGAGTTCGGCGATCTTGTGATTGGCGGCCTCGCGCTCTTCCGTGAGCTTGGCGATTCTCTCCTTAGACTCCTTGGCATCCTCGACCTCAGCCATCAGGTTGGCGACCTCCTGCTCCAGCCCCTGAATCTTCTTTGCTAAAATTCAATTGATTTAGTGTCATTCTTGGAGCGAATCGCTGACAAAGTCAGAAAAGATGACATACCAGCCTGACGAGCAGTGTTGTTGCCAATTGAGGCGGGGATCTTCTCAACGAGGACCATGACGCCCAAGAGGACGAAGATGGCGATCAAGACCGTCTGGATGACTTGCTTGAAGACGTGATACTCCATTGTAAGTGACAGGTCTTGTTGTTGGTGTTGATATTGTTTCGGTAATTCGGGCTTCCGTAGCGTTCGATATGATAATGGTCTTTCTGACGCGAGAGTGTGGTGTATGTTGGGAGGAAAATAGATCCAGGAGGAAGGCTATGCTGACAGCTTGAGTAGCCTTTCTTTTTTGATTCCTTCCTGAAAGATCGTGGGATAGGTAGGGTTTGATGCCGGCGGCAACATGTGCGCCGGCACCATGTGATTCCATGTTTTCCAAAGGCAGGTGCCATTAAGTGATGTGCCTGTTCTGGCTGTGGAAGCCTCCGGAAGACAGCATAAGGACTCACACCCCTTCCTTTGTGTTCAGTTCCATGCGGGAAAAGTAGAGCTCTTTCAGGGTTTGAGTATATGGAACAACAGGCAGACAAGCAAAAATTAGCAATGATAAAGAGAAAAAGGCTCAGGAGAGATCTCGGTGGAGGATACATCTGCTTACTTATGATGGAGGAACTGTCTTCAAAAGCATCTGTCTGATGGTCCATTATCTGGCATCTTCTGAACGAGCCCAGTACCAATATTGTGGAAATTCGAGAAAGTATCAGAAATTGTCTCGAGCAGACAGTGAAGACAATCCGATTCTCGCCTTGAGAGCAAGTATTTGGGCAGTTTGTTGTCTCTGGAAAATATCCATGAGCTGTAATATGGCCCTTTAGGTTTGAATCTTTTTCCAAATGCCCATTGGAAATTGACAAATGGTTCATCTTAGTCTGAGCAAAACGGTTTGGATTTCCAAGGACTTGTGGAACGAGTACCAGATTCTCTCGATCGTAGCAAGAAAGAGTAGGCATGTGTATGCCATGGTATTGCTTCTGTGCTTATTGATTCTATGATCGCTGTTTCTAGACGCTTTCCTGTGCTTGATACCCCGTTTCCGCCCTAAAGGTGAAAAGATTATTACAAGTTCCTGTAGAGCATAATCTATTGCTCCAGCTCACGATCGGTGTCGTCCATATCTTCAACCTTGTCGCTAGAGTCGTCATTCTTGTCTGCCTTCTCGATGATCTTAGCACGTAGCTTCCGGAGCTCCTCCAAACCCTTCTCAACATCGGCCTTCATATTCTCCACCTCGTTCTTTTTCTTCTCTAGGTCGGCCCTCATCTGCTTCACCTCCTCTTTACCCTTCTCAATCGCCTTCTCCTCTCGATCGATCCGTTCACCCTTGTGCATAAAAAGGCTCCAAGCGTTCGCCTTAGCCTTTTCGTACTCGCGACGCTCGCGCAGGATGTCTTTGCGGAGGCTCTCTTCATTTTCAGAAAGACTTGATAGGCGACAAGGGCTTTCAGACGGGTTTTCTCTGTTATTTCAGCTGATCAGCAACGCCTCAATGACGGAATGAGCATTTGGAAGGATACTGAGGATACATACCGATGCGGCGTTCGAATAGGTTATCTCTGCACCACGTGGAGATGTCTCGGACGAGAAGCATGATGAGCATCGCTCCGCCGACGCTCGCCAAGAAATACCAAACTTCCTCAATCTCGTTGACCGTAGCGCCGTTGCCCATGTTGGCTCGACTTTGTTTCTCTCCGTATTGTTGGATCAGGGGTTTCAGTCGATGTTGCGGGGCAGTGGCTGGTAGGTTTAGCAACGATTGTCATTGATAGCTTGATGATAAATACAGAAGCTGAAGAAGGTGGAGGAGTGTAGTCGGAAGTGTTGGTGGGATTGTTGAGGACCAGGCGGGATTTTCCATCTTCAGTAAGACCTCTGTTCCTTCACTTTTCCAAGGAACTGTAGCTACGGAAAGTTCTGGGTGCACTGGTTTAGGCTTCTGCCTTCCAATGCAGTGTGGAAATCCCAAGGCGGGTGTACGTAGATACAAGGGTACATTGGGACATGATTTCAGGCAGAAGATGGAAGGAGTACCCTGTGATAACTTCAATAATAGGACCTTGATATTTCCTTCACAAAGCTGATACCAGGCAAGGTATAAAATCCTTTCAATGGTGGTCCCTGACTGCAAGTTTGAACAAAGAGACAAGACAGTGCAGCTCTTCCATGGGCAAGGTAGAATCAGACGCTGACAGGGTCACAGACGAACTGTGAATGGCTGTGGAATACTACACATGTGATGTCAATCTGTCATGAATCAGTGTTCACAGTCATGGGTAGTCTCATTTCATATGTGATATCTGCCGCACTTCACTACTCTGCAGCACACGTATACGCCATGCTGAATACACACATCCGGGTTTCCACGGCCTGACAGAAACTAGTGCTATTGAACGTAAACTGCTTTTCTTCGGGAATTTCTAAAGAATGCTGTCTTGGCAAAGCTTTCATCGGATATCGTGGCTGTTGGTGGTGGTGGCACCACTACTGAGGTCATCACATCCATCACATCCTTATGTGGTCTCTGAGATGGACATGTGTTTGGAAGAGTCCATTTTGATGAACTACACAGTATCGATAAGTCCTTCAACCTATATCGATAGCCGTGATAGAGACTACGGGCTATGCTGTGGGCTGTGCTCGCTCGTGTGTGGCGGAAACGTCGAGACACCATTGCCATGAAGAACCATCTAGATGCAACTGTCTTCACAATGACTTTCTCAAATGAAATGCACAATATATGTAACCCCTTGTAAGTGAAATTTGCTTCTCTTAGTCACACTGAAAATGATTTTGTAGGTGTCATCTGGCTCAGCTCAGGTCAAATCAGTCTTAGGAGATAGTTAGCAAGTACTTACTATTCCGAATCCGAGCTTCTCATTGGACAAGGTTGGAATACCGAGAGCTTTGCCTGGGGAAAGTGGTCAGCTGGCAGTCCGTGGTATGGTAGAAACAACATGGGAACTATGACTTATAATAGACTTGTCTGGAGTATTAGGAAAGTTTCCGAGACAAAGGTACCTAGGCTCGATACGATAAACCCAGCGAACCATTCTCCCGTTTTCAGACTCAATGTGCCCACTTTGTCTTATGGAGTAGTTTGCAAGCTCTATACATCAGTGGTAACATGTGTGAGAAGCCAGTTGCAAAGAATTAAGGAGGTTCGGACCAAAGCTGGACTATGAGGCGGGAGAGCCGGACCCGAAGCCATGGTAATTCGTCAACTGCTGCGAGAACCACCGACAATGCCGCTGACAACTCCATACCAAGCGTCCAATCTCCCGGGTCGGTGGGCGGGTGAGGTTCATCCGAGTCATGAGCCAAGCATGGATGCCAATGGGCCTTACCCAGCGACAGAAAGCTTAAACTTAGGGCTGTTTAGAATATATTGCAGCAACTGTCCGTCGTTTTCGTCGCTTTTGGAGTCGGAGAGATAACTATTCTAGAAACATCCTCCGCAATTCGATAAATGCGTTGGCTGAGCCTCACGTCTGAGTGCACCTCGAGTATCATGGCTCAGGACTTAGGTACATGTAGTTGCGTGTCGAGTACCCGCAAGCTGGTTGATGCAGGAGTGACGCAGCGCCAGCAAGCTTGAACAACGTCAGGTAATTCAAAGACAACCCCTTATCACTGCCGGACACACCCGCTCTCCCAGCCATAGATATGGGTCCAGATCTAGACTCTTGAATCAGCCTTTGACTCCGTCATGAACTTAAAATAATTTCACGACAGCGGAGGCGGAGTCTATTGGGGCTGACGAACTCCCACCGGGAGTCCGGGACCACTGCCTATTATCTGACCACACCAAAAGAATACAAATGTTCTGCTGGTGCGTGGCCCATCTTGGCGTAATAGCGCCATCTCGCACCAATTTTATACCTTGGGTAGGGGTGACCCATCATTATAGTTAATTGAGCTCCAGCACCACCAAAACAAGCTAGGCCACTTCGTGGGCAGGAAATTTTCAGGTGCCGTCTCTACACTGCGAGTCAACAACTCCTGAATCCACGCTATGTGAGCAGACTGAGCGAAAGTTGCAAAAAAGTTTCTTAGAGAGTACCAAGACTTCCTTAATGTGTTGTTCCTGCTGACCCAAAGTGCCAAGATGGATCCATCTCTGTGGTATCATTATCTGCCTGAACCGGAGCTGATTGCGACGATGAAGCCATGCCCACACTGCATTCTATAAATCATCACCAGCGCCATGCTCTCTCTCTGCCCGCAATATGAGAGAAGTAGTTGATTATACCGTTCTCTCCCACCCACATTCTTTTGTGTGATTCGCCAACCCAACTTTTACACTCTTTTTCAAAGTACATACAAAAACACATTGTTTTTTCACAATGTTGGTCATCCCAACAATACTCTCCTGCCTCTCCCTGGCCCAGGCGGCCAATATCTTCGTTTCCCCCAAGGGCGTAGCGACCCCGGACGGCTCCCAAGCCAAGCCCTTCTCCGACATTCAAGCTGCAGTCAACATCTCCCAGCCGGGCGACGTCATCATCCTCCGCGGCGGCACCTACGACCTGCTCAAGAACATCAACATTACTGTCAACGGCACCGCCGCTGCCCCCATCACCCTGCACGCCGCCAAGGATGAGGAGGTCATCATCGACGGCGAGGGTCTGCCGGATACCCCCGCGCCCGTCGGCGCTTCCGTGCTGGGCCGGAACCGTGGTGTGCTCCACGTCGAGCGCGTGCAGTACTGGAACTTTGCTCGTCTTACCTTTACGCACGGCGCGTACGGCGTGTACGTGAAGGACTCGAGCAACTTGCGCTTCAACCAGATTGTTACCCGCGAGAACTACGAGAGCGGGTTCCATATGCAGGGTGCCCTATCTAACAACGTTATCTCGTACCTTGACTCGTATGGTAACCGCGACCCGAGAAACAACGGCGAGAACGCCGATGGCCTTGCTATCAAGGAGGGCAAGGGCGAGGGCAACATTGTTGTTGGAAGCAGATTCTGGGATAACTCTGACGATGGTGTCGACTTCTGGTGAGGCCTTCCATGTTTAGTGTTGTTATCATAATGCAGAAACTAACAGTATCGCAGGGAGTTCCACTCCAAGTTGACCATCAAGGACAGCATCGCGTGGGGCAACGGCTTCAACCGCTGGGTAAGTCAACATCATACTCATAGCCCATTCTCACTACGCCGTTCTAACAACCCACTCAGGACATCCCCGACTTCACCGGCAACGGCAACGGCTTCAAGCTAGGCGGCGGCAGCGCAGGCGACATCCTCCCCGCCGCCCGCGACGTCATCAACTGCATCGCCTTCGGCAACAAGGCCAACGGCTTCACCGACAACTCCCAGACCGGCGCCTTCGCCATCGAGGACAACACCTCGTGGATGAACGGCAAGACGGGATTCCGCAGCGTCAACGCCACGGGCGTCCTCAAGCGCAACGTCGCCGCCCTCAACAACCCCGAGGCCCTCGCCAACGCCACCTATTTCGGCCAGGCGACGCTGCGGGAGCGCCAGACGTCCATCGGCAACTCGTGGGACGTCGCTGGAGCTGCGCTGACGAACGCGAGCTTCAAGAGCGTTGACATTGGGCTTGTTTCTGGTGCGCGCGGCAAGAATGGAAAGATTGTGCCGAGCGACTTTTTGGTGCTTGTTGATGGGTCCAAGAGGGGTGCTACCACCAACTGGAAATAAGCAGAGCTTCATGTAGATAGGCTTTCTTCTATTTAAGCGGACTCAATTCGTCTGAGAGTTGCGGGTGGCTTTCGTGACTCTTGGGGATCCAAATTTTAAGCCCTCATATACCTACTTCTCTTGTAACTTTAGATAGAATGGAGGTCGTTCTCGTGCTGATCAGTTTACCTTATAGACCGACTGGGTCAGAATCCCCCGTCTAACTTTCCTGACCTTTCAAGTGTGAAGTCATTTGGCCGGACAGTGTGACTGCGAATTGTGAAGACCATACCGCCTCGTCACTTGCTCGCTAGTCCAGCATGGTCCTATCGGTAACAGATAACGTCAGTGATTACGCCTTCAGTTTTATCTAACGCCGATTCTGTTTCCAATTCTCCGATTAGGTGCATCGTGAGGGAATCGGACGATGATAGTGCGGTTGATGAGGATTAGTACGCTGTTTGTCGATACTCTGAGTGGCGATGTACCGAGGTCATTCAGCAGTCTACGGGATGGGATGCCATCATAACTACTAGAATGTGAGCATACCAGTCAGCCCTGAACTTTGTCGCGCGTACTCAAGACCTCTTGATGGGGGTTCGACTTGTTACTAGTGGCTAAGCTAGGAAGCCTCACAACTTGGCCTTCATCTTGCGCCAAACCCACGACCGTCCGCCAAGTGTGGCACACATCTCCGCTACTGACTCCACATCAAGCGCTGTTGAGCCGACACGTCGGCCGTGTAGCGGGGGCCGGGGCCACGGGGCGGACCACGGGCGACAAATGAGAAGAACGTTGCTCTCCGCTCCGGAATCGGAACTCAAATGGAAAAACAGGGTAATGACGGAAAGAAAGTGGGATGCGAGCCTGGTTTTGCAACGTAGGATCTCACCCAGGTGCCACAGAAATACAAGGGAAGGGAAGATGCTTGATACGACCGTTGAAAATAGGGGTGGGCGTGACGTAATGAGCATGTCAAGCTCGGCACTCCCTTGCCAAGCAAAGTCTCCGGGCGCCGTGATCAATGTGCGAGGTGTGAGGTGATGTGATCATGCGCGTCATGTCACGATCTCACCTTAGCTTATCTGCACTTTAAACTCTTTACTAACGCACTCTTGATCCATTTGAAGCAGATTACCGACAGATTGGATTGACAAGACCAACACCTAGATTCGACTCCATCGTGAAACCTTCATTTCGTCCAATACAGCATCTCACTTATCGTCGAGGAACCTCACGTAATGAAGTCGATCGGCATCTTCCCTGGCTCAGGAGGCCTAGGTGGCAGTACCTACGATTATCTCTTAAAACTCCTCCCTAACGACCACATCATCCTCATCAACCGCCACCCAGAACGAGTACCCCAAGAACACATCAAGAACGGTTTACGCGCACGCAAGGCGTCATACGAGTCGAGCCCCTCCGATCTCGAGGCCGTCTTTGCCGGCATCGAGGTGCTCTTCCTCATCTCCTACCCAAGTCATGTGCATGAGTACCGCAAAAAGGTGAGAAGCAAAGCGCTCGAGCTGGACTGGTCTCAACACCAAGAAGGGTGGTCTGACAAGATTCACAGGTTCAACTACCTGTCGTTGACGCAGCTCGTCGCGCAGGCGTGAAACACCTTTTTTACAGCTCTCTAGCCTTCGGCGGCGACCTACAAGACGGTTCCGCAGCGGAGGTAATGCAAGCCCACCTCTCGACGGAGCGCCACCTAGCCTCCGCCGCGGCATCGGACCCGAGCTTCACCTACACCTCCATCCGCGAGGGTCTCTACTCAGAATCATATCCAATCTACACCTCCTTCTTCGACATAAACTCTCCGTCCTCTTCGAACGAGATCCTCATTCCGCACGACGGCGCCGGCCCGGGCGTGGCATGGGCGAAGCGCAGCGAGTTGGGGGAGGCGACGGCGAAGCTCATCGCGCAGTATTCCTGGGACCCAGATCAATTCCCCCACGTCAATAAAAAGGTCCTACTCACGGGTCCGCGGGTCTGGTCTCTTGAGGAGACGGTGAGAGTACTTGGGCGGGCTGTCGGGAGAAATGTGAGGATCCGCGAGGTGAGCGTGGATGAGTACGTGAAGCTGCCGCAGGTTGTGGCGAAGTTCGGATCGGTGGAGAAGGCGAGGACGTGGGCGACTGCATGGGAGGCGATTCGGGCAGGGGAGACTTCTGTTGTGTCGGAGACGTTGAGGGAGATCATCGGGCGGGACCCGGAGGAGTTTGATGTCACGATACAGAGGTTGAAGCAAGCATGAGAGTAGGGAGGTGGTTTGGAGTGACTCTTGCGATGACCTAGATGGGATTACAGATGCGAATGGTTTTGTGAGCGTCACGTGGGCTGCGACAAATGGCTAGCCATTCCCGAACATAGACTCTGGGAGATGCCGTGGCCACGGGATGGAGGGGCTTGCGCACGGGAATTTCGACGAACATTTCTGTGCGGCGTTTGGTCGAGCCAAGTGCAATTTAGGTGGTTGTCGGGCAAGACAGAGATTGGGATTGACAGCGAGAGGGAGTTGGCTTTGGACTCGAAGGGGAGAGAAGGACAGAGAGAGAAGAGGAGCATTAGGAGGGCGCTGGATTCTTCGGATGATCTTCGGCGCTAGCGCCCTTCAAGAGCAGGTTCACAGCCCACAACTTTCAATAATGGGCGATTGGTTTAGTGGTATAATGACCGCTTAGCATGCGGTAGGTCCTGGGTTCGATTCCCAGATCGTCCAACCTTTTTGGCTCAAAACTCTATTTCGGAATTCTTCTTTTTGGTGTTCTCATCAACGGTCGGTCACATTGCGTGCTTGCTTTGCCTTGTTATGAACTTGCATGAGAATTGAAGGACTGTGAATATTTGTGTACCTAGGTAGTTGCCAACGACTAGGTTCATGTACCGTAGGGCGCATCTTCATCACTGTGGATGCCTACCTAGCTTACGCACGATGAGATGGCATTGGATCCAAAGGCACCATTGAGAGTGTATCGTTGAAATGATATTTTTCGAACACTCTATGGCGCACTCAAGCTTCCTCTTACTTGGAGGGACGGCTACTGAAGTCACATCATTCTAGGCTGTCCACTGACTTCTAAGGCAACACGTGATTGCCATGAAAGTCAAATGATGAGAAGGGTACCTTTGTTCATGAATGATTAGCAGTATCTGCCCAAAGCTTTCTTCAGCCTGGACCAGCGCTAGGGCAGCTATCGTTGACAATGCGGCCGTGGTTTCCCCGGGAATTCCCAAGCTCTTCGAGTTGTATTCAAGACTCGGGACATCAAGTACGCCGTTTTTTGTCAATTCAATACCCTAGTCTCCGTACTTCACTCTATTCAACTATGCGGACACCTCCGTCACTGATTGGATTGATGCTGGAGTGCTTCAGATGGACTCGTATTGACGCTGGGATAAGCAGGCGGGGGATCAGATTAGTGCCCCATCCACCAAATAAGCGTTTTAAACTTAAATCGGCACCCAAACGATGTGCTGATAAGGATGAGAAGAATGCCGCGCTGTGCCGTTCTCACAATCCATAAATGCAGCTGAAGATATTCTTACAGACCTCCCCTTCCGGTCTAGAACACGGACGATTCTTCCTCCAAGACACACGGCGCAACTAGCCCGTAGCCTATCTCAATCAAGCTCTTGTTGCAGGAAACGGGCTCATGCAACCCAGCAGGCCTCAAAGTCCAGCTTTGCGTGCCTTTGCCCGACCCCCAACAGCCCGCGCGATCGCCAAAGTCCCCTTGAATCCTTACCGCCGCGCTACCCCGGTTCCGGCAGGTCGGTTGCCCGCAGTCCGGCACTTGACCTCCTGGATCTGTCCAAGACTCCAAGACTTTGAGGAAGTTCGCGGGGGCCACTGACAGCCAGGCACTACGATGTTATTTGCTTGGGTCGCATTGGGGTCCACCGCCAGTCCTACCAGCCCAATTTATCTAGGCTTTTGTTCGACTTGCTCAATCAAGTCTTCAAGGCCGACCAGGCGATGCAAAAGGTCCGTCAAGCGCCCTTCTTGAAAGTTTGTGGTCTGCTATTTGGATTCGCCATGCCGCTCGTCCCGTCAACCAATGTCTCTGTGAAGCGTGTAGAACCTGACAGTGTAAGCAGCCGCCTCCCAATCTAAGAGTTGCGTGCTCGTCTGATGATGCAAGATACCCCTGGCCGAGATAGACACACCCAGCCACAGTCCAATGCTTCTCTCCAGGCTTCCAACCTTCCTTCTCCAGATCCTAGTCCCATCGCATTCCCCTCCCCTTCCCTCCGCTCTCTCCCAAGCCTGGGATCTGTGCGCCATTAAACGCAGAATCACCAGCCAGTCGTGTCGGTAGCCGTGGATCTTCACTCCCGTTTACCTTCCCCCCTGAGCGCGGAGAAGCGAGCTTGGGGTAGCACCACCTCCAACTCTGAAGATACCACCACCTGCATGTTCCCTCCCCTCTCTTACACCACAGAGGCGGGGACTTTTGTCTGCAGCTTGTTGCCGCATCTCGTTCTTACGTTGATCAGGCAGGTCTCTTGATTAACAGTCCATCAGCTAAGAGAAGGTAGACAACATTATCAGCATCAACGAATCGGACAAAGTCAAACGAGAAAAGGGCACAGACAGGGCAGACAGGGCGAAATTGAAATACCAAGATGCTTTTTCCTCAAGGCGGGCCGCAATGACCCAAACGGGAAGGTTGTAAGAGCTGCCCAGGCGATCCCCGACGGTCCGATCCTCGTCATTCACCCTGTTCCTGTTTCCTGTTGGCCCTGCCACCGAAAAATGTCAATCTCAGGCCTGGAAACTATGTTTTCCTGCTTTCCCCTCTTATCCTCAATCCCTGGTAGTAGTTATTGGATACAACTCTCCTCGTAACTCGTAAAACTATACATAAGGAGAGCACACCCGTACGATACTCAGTCTTGGCGATGCCCTCTCTCGTGCACCCTCGCTGAACTCATCACGCGCGGTCGCCATACACTCACTCCCGGCCAAGCTCCTCTCTTCCTCAAGAGTTCTCTTCCTCATCGTTGAAAAGTGACATACTACCGCAACGATGAAGTCCCTCGCCGCCCTTTCCACCCTCGTCGCCGCCGCGTCCGCCGCTTCGGTCGCCGGCGCGAGCTCCAAGCGCGTGAGCTACGACGGCACCAAGGTCTTCCGCCTCTCTGTCGGAGACGAGGTCGACAGGGTCAATGGCGTCGTCGACAAGCTCCAGTTGACGACCTGGAAGGGCGCCCCAAGAGCCGGTGCCTTCGCCGACATTGTCGTCCCAGCCACCGAGGTCGAATCATTCAAGGCTGAGGTTGCCGGTATGAATCTCACTACCATGCACGAGGATCTTGGCGCCTCGATTGCGGACGAGTCTGGCTTCTCTGTCTACGCTGGTAAGTCTCGCCACCTCTCCAATGCTTGATACCTCTCCACCTATGCCATACGGCCATCCTACGCGAATGTAATCTCGCAATATGCTAAAGTTCGTGAACTAACTTTTCTCTTAGTCGGCTCCGCCAACGCGACCTGGTTCAACTCTTACCACGCGTACGCCGACCACCTTCAGTTCCTCAAGGACCTGGTCTCCTCATACCCCAGCAACGCCGAGATCGTCACCTCAGGCTCGTCCCTCCAGGGCAATGCCATCACTGGCATCCACATCTACGGCACCTCAAAGGGTACCAAGCCCGCCGTGGTCTTCCACAGCACTGTCCACGCCAGAGAGTGGATCAGCACCATGGCCAACGAGTATATCGCCTGGAACCTCCTGAGCAAGTACTCCTCCGACACGGAGATCAAGAGCTTCGTCGACAAGTACGACTTCTACATCTTCCCCGTTGTCAACCCTGACGGTAAGTTCCTTATTTCCGCTCCATGATATTCCGTCAATGAACCCTCTCGCTGACTGTCTTCGTCAAGGCTTCATCTACACCCAAACCACCAACCGTCTGTGGCGCAAGAACCGCCAGAGCACCTCCGGCAGCACCTGCATCGGCCATGACATCAACCGCAACTGGCCCTTCCAGTGGTCTGTCACCGGCGGTGCCTCCACCGACCCCTGCGCCGAGGACTTCAAGGGTCTCTCCCAGGGTGACGCCCCCGAAACCGCCGCTCTCTCCGCCTGGCTCGCAAAGACCAAGTCCGCCCAGGGCCTCAAGCTCTTCATCGACTTCCACGCCTACTCCCAGCTCTTCATGACCCCCTACGGCTACTCCTGCACCGCCGTCTCCGCCAAGAACACTGAGCTTCAGTCTCTTGCCAAGGGTGCCGTCGCCGCCATCAAGGCTGTCCACGGTACCTCGTACCAGTACGGTCCCATCTGCACAACCATCTACAAGGCGACAGGCAGCAGTGTCGACTACGTCAACGATGTTGTCAAGGCCGATTACACCTTCACCCAGGAGCTTCGCGACACTGGCAACTACGGCTTTGTTTTGCCCGCTGCTCAGATCGTGCCTACCAGCGAGGAGACCTACGCTGGTGTCCGCTACCTGCTCCAGAACATGAAGTAAATGGCGTTCGGATATCACTTTCGGACGGTTTCCCGCGCGAGAACATAAACCTAGTGGCACCTCCTTTCATGTATCTAGTTTAACCAACTCCTTCTGTAAGTATTCCTTCAGAACATGCACAAATAAACAACTTGTAAACATCAACTTTCCGTCGCAAACGTGGACCTGTGTTCTCATCCTTCTTCGCAAGCCAATCGTATGTTTCGTTTCCTGCAAGCCTTGGCCTATCCAACATTGAAGCATCCGTTCCAAGCACGGCCCGTCGGCACCCTGATACGTCCTCGGTGCCATTGAACCATCAAACTTCAGACGACTTCTCGGCTGCATGTGCAAGCAAAGGTGGCCAAGCACAAGTTCTCCGCCGACGTCGTATGAGTTCCTGGGCGTTACTGGGTAGGAGGGGAAGAGGGCCCGAGCCAAGGATCTTACTACCTTATTTTCTCTTTGTGCCGTCATGGTCTTCCCGCAGTTGTGCTCTTACCCCGGATTACTTCATTGTTGTCTCAGAAGTTCCTGTGTCACTTTTGAGAATCTCTATACCAAAAGCGGCTTTCCAGAACACAACAATCTCAACGCTCTATTCAAGGACCCAAATAACCTCATGAATAAGATAATCGAATAACAACACAGACATATCACACACAATGCGTCGACTCTCAAGTCTGTCGGCGCTGCTAGCAACCCTAGCAATCACGCTCTCCACCTCCGCCGAGCTCACCCGCCGCGAGCTCCAACCTCTCCCGCTCTCCGTCCGTGACCGCGACATAGTCGACGCCCGCAATGCAACAGTCGCCCTTGTGGGCGTAAACTGGGCAGGTCACGAGCGGACCATGCTGCCCGAAGGTCTACAATACCAGTCCGTCGCCCACATCGTCAAGCGCATCGCTGAGACGGGCTTCAATTCTGTCCGGCTGACGTTCGCCACCGAGATGGTAGATGATATCGTCGATCGAGGCGGCGACGTGGACCTCAAGACGACGCTACAAAATGCGCTGGGGCCGGAGAATGGTACGACGGTTTTGAAGCAGATTCTCAAGAACAACCCGTCTTTGAACGAGAGTTCGAAGAGGCTTGATGTGTGGGATTCTGTTGCGGCGGAGTTGGGCAGGCAAAAGATCTATGTGCATCTCGACAATCATGTTTCCAAAGCTGGATGGTGTTGTACGCCATATGATGGGAATGGTTGGTTCGGCGACACGAACTTCAATACATCTAACTGGGTTCGCGGATTATCCTAC